TAATAATTAATTATTATTATTTTTTTTTTTTATTCTTTTAAACAAATTGTATATAAGAAGCTGAGCCATCATTAGTTTAGTATTAATCAAAATCTTATTTTAATTCATTCATCAATTTTTCCTTGATCCTGCCATTGTTAATGCACGATCATATTTCCTTTCTAATAAATCACCTTTATAATGATTAAGTCCGTTAATCATTGAAAGATATGTTTGATAATTGTGGTATGAATGATAACAAATATGTAAGTATGATTGTTGATAATCCTTAGATTGTTCTAATATATATTCTAAGGCTTTTTAATATTTATCTTTGTATGTATGAGTGAATTATATATGGATCTTTTTTTTTTATTTTTTATTTATTTATTTATTTATTATTATTTTTTTTTTTAATTCTATCTGTTCACATGGCCCACATTTTTCCACTTTATTAAGTAATATTGGTAATGCTATTTATAATGCAATAATGGTTATTTCCAATTTCAAATTTGTTTACACTTCTTGATAATGGTACTCACTTTGTAAAAAAAAAAAAAAACAAATGTATTTAGAAAAATGAAAGAAATTTGGGCCATGTTACAGTTTTGGAGAAGCGACAAAATCCAAAGAAAGCGAAAGTAGTGAAGGATGGTTGAGTGGTTGGTTTTCTTCATCCAAACCAGTAAAACCTACTCCCATGCCCGAGTCATCAGATACTAATAAATCTAAGCAGAGAATAGTGAGGTAATATCGATGGCACATTGTAAGATTCATGTATATGTATATTGTTGTGAATTATACATTACATTTATTTATATTACGTGTGTGCAGAAAGAGAAAAATATTTATTTGTTTTTTTTTCGTATTATTAGATATAGTTAAATCAATAATTCATATGTTACAGATATGCTGGCCGCCCCACTGCAGCATCTCCTGCAACAGGTAGCAAAATGCAACATTTAAAAGAACTTAAACAAATTCTGGATGATTCACTGAACGTTTAATAATCCTTCGTAGTGCTATGTAGAAACAAATTTTATTTATTATATTATACTATATTTGTTATTTTTTGTTCTATTCTATGTCAATGGAGATAATATCACCACGCAACTATGTAAATGATTTCTTTGTTAGTAATCAACTTATAAAATCACTGTACACATGAATATTTTATCACACTAATGCAAAATGTATATTTATTATACGTTTTATTATTTATATGGCTTCTTTTTTTTTATTGCATGGACCTTATGGGTAAAAGAGGCTACATTGTATTAGTTTTAATTGTCTGTTACTAATTAATTATTACATTTTATATAGTTACCCATATATTCCTGCAATGAATAATTCACGCGCATAGCAGTTTATTTCCACTTACTATTTGGATATAAGTAATTAAATATTACTTTGCCTTTTAGAATAACATAGACGTAAACAATATATAAACAAATTTGTATGATAAAACTATGTTAGAATCGAGATTTTGGAAAAGTAATCTTCATTCATTGAAATCAGTTTAATGGAAGGACAAATGTTGCTGATATGTATTATTCATTGCTAATCCATGGGGGTTTTAACCAAATTTGAAATTTTATTAGAATAAGATATTCATGTGAAAGTATTATCATATATTATTTGTTAATATGACCATGAGAAAAACCTGTCCAGTGAACAAGATTAAACAAAAAGTATTATTTTTAATTTAATGAGATATTACGCAGAGCGTACGTCTATTAATAGTTACATTTTCGAAATATAAACTGGATCTCTTCATGACTTATAAAAAGCAATAATTATTTATTTTTTCTTATGTAATTTGTATACCAAAGGAAAGAAAAATAAATTCTTTATCGTAGTGAAAAATTAAAAATAACATAACATATTTAATTAGATTTAAATTAATTAAATATTAATGAAATTTAATGGGATTAAATGATAATATGTAAAATAAAAAATTATTTTTCTTTAAATATTTTTCATGAAGAGTTTTAGCAAACATTTCGTTGTAAGAAGGTCGTGAAAGTAGAGGATGAACTAGAATAACTAGTTTATAATATAATTTGAATATCAGTTTTCTTTCAAATCGATTATACAGATTGGAAACTACATAGTTTACGAAGGGATAATATTTATATTCTTCTATTTGTGAAAGATTGGACATACGAATGAGTATTTGTTGGGATGTGCTGTTATTTCTTATATCAAGTATAATTGCACACGCTATGTTTTTGAATAATTATATTATTCAAAGAATTGGATTGTTATTAAAGTGAAAACGGCTATACCTGACAATTTCTATTTTGTCAAATAATTTGAATCATCAATAGTGAAACGATAATTGAGAATTACTACTAGAATATTCTGTAGATACAATCTGATTAAATGTGGACATTGCAGTTCTGTTCCAGCAATCCTGTAATAATATGCATAATAACAATTTAAATGCATATATATGACTGATAAAAAAAATAAAGTTTATTCATTAAACAAATGCAAATTGTAGTAATTAAAAATAAAATTATATTACAACATTTTTTGTATTTATTTCTTCTATATCATACATCCACTTTATGTATAGATGTTATCATGTAAATAAGAAAATAAAGATGATTTAAAAAATTCGATTTGTTTAAATATATAATGTTAAATATACGATATAGCATGCAAATAATATATCCATTATATGCATAAAAATATAATAAAATCAGTATATTATTACGTATTTGTCAAATTTCTCAATCAATTTCTTTTAATTAAAGTGTTTCTGCTAAATTAAAAAATCTACAAGCTCTAAAGGTTAATATAATAATACTATGCTTACATAACATATCGAATAAAAGATTACATCATTACTTTCTATATTCAATGTTTTTCTTTGGCCATTTGTTTATTGCACAGTACAATAAATAAAATTTATATATCATGTATTATATATATATATATATATATATGTTTGTATATATATATATATATATATATATATATATATGTATATTCAATTAACATAAATAAAATATAGTGTCAGTTCAGGAACTATTTTAATAATCTGTTTGTCCCAGGACACTGTACATAATCCTCTTGAAGCTGTTGCTTTGATGTATTTTTTCACCGTCATCGTCAAGAACGTTCACCTATAATGCATTAATAACAACCTCTTCAAAACATATTAGATCCTACAGAAATTATTCTGTTATTATACTTAACAATTGTATATTATAATTAACCAATAGTTTATATGTTCATGTATTAATTATGCATATTATTATTATCATTATTATAATTATTATTAGATGGATTGTTCAAACATATAATTATATTAGATAATTTATTTACTTATATAAAATTATTAGTAGGGAAGCATTCATTCATGCGACTGAGATTTCATAATTATAAACAAATAACACGTACAATTCGATGAAAAAATTTAATAGTCGTTGATGCGATCCTTAATGAAAGGAAGGGGGAAGGGACGTCTATAATTTCCACCCTTAATTAAACAAATCAGACAAATTGGAATAATTAAAGAAGTTCATATCATCGTATAATAAAAATCGAAAGATATTAATTTCCAAAGATCGTATTCATCGAGAAGTATGTTTGAAAGACATTTTCATGCTTCACATGCTACATGTGTGTATGTCATTTTATGCACATATAACAGACTTTTATATATGTAAGTACATAACATATTTCGAAATAATACCTATTTAATTAAAAAATCACTTACGTATGATGCAGCAGGGCTCTTTGGTCGTGCATGGGGAATCTAAAATCATCCCAAATAATATATGTTACGTAAATATTGTAATTTTTTAATTTCCCGGGCTTATCGTTTCCATTCGTTAAAATGTCTTTTTTCTTTTTCAAAGCGGGAAAATCAAATGTAACAATCAAAATGCATAATTCTTATTCGAATGAATTTAAAAGATGTAAATACGATTTATATGTAGTACGATTAAATTATTTTGGAACTTACCCTATTATAATTGGCTTTTTGTGGAGAAAAAACACCGGTACGTGCCGGCTGCCTAACCTCTTGGACCGTATCACCGAGAGCTTCTTCTTGTAGGGCCTTATAAGCTTCACTCTTGCTCGGATCGTACTTTACTGACATCTTTGGACTGTCGGCGATGCATATATAGACACGGATCACTTTTAATCGACTAATCTCATATCGATTTCTTGTATTTTTTGAGTCGGTTAAGAGCAGCATCAAGGTTATTGCCAATTAATGTTCGAGAGCGACTTTCGGCGCACTTTTATTTCGTGCTTTTTTAAATCTATGTTAGAGCAACTATTTACGAAAGTAATGCTATAACGTGCAAGCTAAGAGGATAAAAAAAAAAGAAAAAGAAAAAAATAGAGAGAGAGAGAGAGAGAGAGAGAGAGAGAGAGAGAGAGAGAGAGAGAGAGAGAGAGAGAGAGAGAGAGAGAGAGAGAGAGAGAGAGAGAGAGAGAGAGAGAGAGAGAGAAAATGCATGGAAATAGTTTCCCGAAGTTTGCGAAAATTACGAGCCCCATTCTTACCAATAGCAAGAAAATTATTACTTTTAATTTAAGAAAGAAATATATCGAACAGTTTTACATTCGATCAAATTTTTATTATACGATGGAAAATTAAGGTAATAATTAATATCAAATACATACATGGAGAATTGCATTTTCATGCGCGATAGATACTTGCATAGAGAATATATATGTATATGTATATATATATATATATTATATGTACATGTGCGTTATTTATTTATAACATCAAAAGTATATCGTGTTAATATGATTTTCTTATTCGCTCAGAAAAGAAAATTATTATAGATTTAAATAATTCGCTATCAATTACTTACCCTGCTTTTCCATTCACATTTGCATTTCCATTCAGATTGCTTTTGATGTAAGGCGTTCTGCGAAATATTTATAGAATGATATACACATATATTCGAGGATACAATTTTCGGGTAAATTTTGTAAAAATAGGGGAACGTAATCCTCGAAACTATCGCGAGATACTAAGTGTTAAGTTAGTTAAATATTTTCTACTTTATTATTCTATTGCATGCAATCATTATTTGTCTAACTTTTTTTTATACATGGCTTCCTTTCTTTTTTTTTTTTTGTTTTTTTTTTCTGTTTTTTTATCTTTAATATTTTTCATTCGATTCGAAGGTTATAGCTACCGTATATGTATAACTAATATTTCAATCCATAGAATATATAGCACACACTAATAGGAAATTCATTTTTGATATTTTATTTAATCGATCGATTAATCACGTTCGCGAATTGAATTGTTTTGAATATGATTTTCGAAAAAAAAGAAAAAAAAGAAAAATTGATGAAAAAATGAAAAACAAAACGACGACAAACGTGATCGACGATCGATAATGCAGATCGTTCATATGGATGGATACGCCGTAACCAATGTATGCGAGAGAAAAGCATCGAAAAACGTCTCGAACGAGATTCTAATTTGGTTTATTAAATTGCGGCCACACGTTCTTCGAGGAAGCGGCTTTGGCCTGCTCCTTCAAAATTCTCGCCTGCTCCTGTATATCCTGTTTTTGTTTCAGGAAGGAAAAATCTATGAAAATGCTGTAAAATAAACAATACGCATGTCAGTTGTTTATTGTTATGAAGAAGGATTGTATAAAGCCGCGTGAGAGAAGGAGAAGAACTTCGCTCTTGTACTCTTTTTCCCGAGGATCGCCATCTTGTGTGGAGAGTAATATTTTTTTTTTATGTAAGTAATATTATTTTATATATATATATACATATATATATATATATATATATATATATATATCGAATTAGTTGATCAAAAATATCAGTTGATTTTTATTCGCTAAGAAAATTTACATTTTTTTTCTTTTTCCTTTTGTTTTTATTACGATTTTCAACAGAAGACAGTAAAAATAAATTTTCTTCGCGAATAAATTATATTTCAATCCGATGATGAGTATTTGTCAGTATTTTAGCATAAAGCCAATGTGTGCATTATTTTATTACATCTAAATATCTAATCTATGTAATCATGCTATTATAAACTTCTATGGCGTATTAGCAGCGTTTTCTTTTTTCTTTGTTTTTTCTTTCTTTCTTTCTTTTTTTCTTTTCGTTGAAATAATTGAAAAATATGGAAGATATTTTTGTAACATGAAAATATTAAATTATATTATCGTTGAAACTATACTTACGGTATGGCCGATGCCTGACATTTGATAGTATCTGCAATATTTTGTTCGGAGTAAAGTCCAATCGGAGAATTGAATTGTTTATGGACAACCTGTTTGCGAGAAGTCAAATTATTTTAAACACAACATAATTATATATATATGTATGTCAATTTTTAAATCTCTAGTAATAATTAGTATATTAATTATCTATTCTTCATTTATAACAATTTAATATCATGATAGCGTGAACTTAAATAATTAAGCTTCTATTCAATACTTACACACAAGCTAGATTAATCTATAATTAAAGCGCTTCTACAAAATTAGTCAAACTTTAGTAAAAGTGGTAAATTCAAATTATAATAATCCTATAGCAGTGATTTTCGAAGTATGGAGCGAGTTAAATATTAAAATATGGAAATAGTTTCCATTTATCACAAAGAATTATTATTTTCGAAAATGAATCTCGTCTTATAAAAGCTTTAACCTATAGGATTGATTAACTATGCTGCAGAAATAAACATTTAAATAAGTATGCGCGATTGGAATAAATTATTCAATCAATAAAATCAATTGTTTTAATTCACGAATAATTATTAAAAACTGTTTGTAAGTTGACTCGTCGAAGTCTTACGAAGAACTGAAGTTGTTGACTGTCAAGATAGAAAAGTCACGAGAACGTCGGCCATTTATTATTGTTTACATTTTTCAAAGCTCGCAACTTCTACGTATCATTATACTGATATACTATTTTAATATCTAAACAAATGTAAGAATGACAATGTTTTCAATATGTAAAAGATGATATATAGAGATATACTTATATTTTAGATTTGCGAATTTATAATAGTAAAGTTAAGAAATCAGTTGTGAAATAACGATGCATTTTTTAGCATACTAAATAGATTATAAGCAAAAGTATTGAGTGATCTCGAAAAGCAGAAACTGATTGTAAATATGACTTAATTCAAACCTTTGGAACTTCATTCGGTCCCAAAACACGTTGAAGTACTGTTTCCGCCACCTGATCAGATATTTAATCAAATAGATATATAATTTAATCGCACGGACGCATATATATACCTATATATACATACACACACACACACACATATATATATAAGATCTAATCATGTTTTTTTTGTTTTTAATATTTCATTCGATCCGTTTTGCATTCTCGAGAGATCTTATGATTATTAATCACTGTTATAGACGAGAGAAAAATTGATTACATACTTTTTGTTTCATAGCTACTTCAGGATGAGCTGGTTCGTAATGATGTGGTGCAGCACGAATCATAGGATTGGGATGATGACGAAGGTAACATTCTCCCAAGGGTGCATCCTTTTTAACCTTGGCACCTGGCAAAACTAAAGGAGTTGTACGGTATGGCTAAAAAAGAAAAAAAAATTCACTTCGTTCGTTTTATTTCTCGTTAGAACGAGATATCAAATAATACATATTTACGATTGGTACATAATCTATTTTTATTTAATTTTCAGATGAAAATGACTTCTTAAGTAAAGTTATTTTTATCGATCATCTCAAAAAACTACGGGATGTGAGTAAGGATGATATAAAAAGAACAATACGTGTTATGTGTATCTATAGTTAGACAAGTTGAAAATATCTCGTCTCGGGAAAATATTAATCATCTAACGCTAACGAAGAAGACACGATAGTTCATTAAATTCTGTGTTCATTTCATTAAAATTGATCGTCAATAATTTTTAGCAAGGATGAGAGGAACCAAGCAAATTTGTATAATGTAGCTTGACGATATTCTTGGCATCGCTTGGAAAACCGGAAGTATATAAGAACGTATTACGCGATATTTTCTTCCCCTTCTCTTCCTCCACCTTCTTCTGTTGCTACTGCTCTGTTGCTACTGATAAAAAATGTAAAAAAAACTTTCTTGCGGACAGTTGGCTCATTGTGTAATGGTGTAAAAAGAAAATTGCATAAAGTCGCAAGAAGAAAAGTTTGGCAAGTTATACGTTGTGATATCATTTTTGTTCCTGAAACTATTACGAAATGATGAAGAATAGTAGAATGATCGAAATATTGTTGAAATTGCCAAGATAGAATCTTCCTTCGATTCTTCTCTTTCCTTTTCTTATTTTCTTTTAAAAACAGCTCGCGGGATTCTACGTCAGAGGAACGCGATGACTATTATTACACACCGACTTTATATCTTTCGCGAAAGAGAACTTGGCATCGTAAGACGACTCTTGATTTTTTTTCCAAGCATATTATATAAATCCGTGCTTGTTTATGATAAATAAGAGATATTGTTTTACGTTAATTGTTGCTATCTATGTAACGTATACCTACGTTATAACAATTTAACAGGTCTCGATTGATGAGAACATCATGATCTTGAAGATTATGATATGACGCACAAATACATTTCTTATACCTAAAGATGAAAATCACGATTACGAGAATTCCATTATAAATGGGTCAGGAACATTATGTTACAGGGTGAGCAAGAGTGACTCTCTCGAAATAGATGAAGGCTCCCAGCTGGCAAAAATAACGTCCACCCTGTGTGTATATGTGTGTGTGTGTATACCACAGAGTCCGTTAATGTCGCCACAATGTCCACACGAGTTTTTCCATTGGAAAATCTGGATGAAAGCTCTCGCCAACAAGGTCGCATTCTATGTTGAAGGACAGATGAAGGACACATGAAGGTCATCATATCACTAAGTTAAGAAAAGCGTAGACTAACATTTTCTCTCGAGGTTCTCTTTGAAGATTTCCATTGGTAAACAAAACGCGTGCCACCTGTTTTTTATGAAAATTTAGTAAGGGATAGTGATAGTTAATGTTGAAGAAGTTTAAATTTCTTCTCGAATATATCGATGAAAGAAAGAGAGAGAGAGAGAGAGAGAGAAAGAGACAGACAGAAAGAGAGAGAGAGAGAGAGAGACAGACAGAAAGAGAGAGAGAGAGAGAGAGAGAGAGAGAGAGAGAGAGAGAGAGAGAGAGAGAGAGAGAGAGAGAGAAAGAGAGAGAGAGAGAGAGAGAGAGAGAGAGAAAGCGACAAAGAATTTTTCTAGAAGTTTAAAAACTTATTGTTTTACAGATGTGTTGTTTTATCCATGTCTTCTGATGAAAGGTTGCCGAACTAAATTCAGGTGTAACGAAGCAGCTGTTCCGTTGAAACTTTATTGCTTACTGCTAATAGTACCATTAAATTCAAATTTTTGAAAGTTCTTCTTTAGTTGGAAATTGTCCGATATTAATAAATATTTTAATTAGAACAATTTATTATCAAACATACAACATCTGATCAATCATTGTGTTTAGTGTAAACGATCGTATTATTTGTTTTCTATTAATATTTTCTCAATTTTTGTCAATTAATAAAGAAAAGAAAAAGGAGAAAACAATTCTTAAACGTCGCAAAATCTTTTTTAAGATCAATCAAGCATATTTTAGTCGAAGATATCGCCTTTGAAAAGGCATTTGTGCGTGTTGTGGGTGTGAACGTGATCGTGCCCCTTTTGATGTTTGAGTAACCCAGATCTCGTTCACGAAAATAGAATAAGATACCGATGAACGACTTGTGCGATACTTTATACGTAGTTTTTTTGCATCTGTTTATTAGCATATATACTTTTTATGCATTCCTTAATTAGCCTTCAATTTCTTAATTTTTAATTGGACGATAAGTTTAATCCAAGCTTTTAATGAATTTTTTCGACACTTCATCTTCTTCTTGATCTGTAGGTCATACTTTTGTGAATAATGTGTCAAGGATAACCTAATAATAAATTATTTCAATTTACACAATACATTGTCAAGATGTAGACGTTGAATGAGGATCAAGGTTTGGACTT